TTTTTTTCAATTTATCTATAATATCCTGTATATCTTTTATTATTATAGATCTTACTATTCCTTTAGCAAAATTTTCCATCATGTTTTCCTTAAAGCATTTTAATATTTTTGGGATGCATTTAATTGTTCTTGATATCTAATCTTATCAAATACATTTTAAAATTCAATTTCTTTTTTGTTTTTCATAATTTTCTTAATCTTATATAGTCATCTTTTAGATATGTGTTTTTTCTAAGTTTTTTCGATCATTCTTATGATAATAATTTTTTATAGATCTTAATCAGTTAATTGTATTCTTTTTCATATGATGGTGATTTGATACAATTATCATTTTTGGGGGTATTTTAGGTAGTTTCAAAATTTAAAATAGTCAAAAGGCTATGAGCTTGTTTGGGAGGGATTAAAATCAGATTAAAATTGAAAACATAGTCGTTGGAGTTGACTTTTATTAGACGGGTAGGACCCAATAACGACTATATTTTCAATTTTAATTGGATTTTAATCCTTCCCAAACAAACTCTATTTTGGAAAGGCTATATTTGAATTTTGGGTATTTTCAAGTATTTCCCCTCGTACCCAAACGTCAACGTGAGGGTAGACTCGGACGTCATATATGTCCCCCAAAATTGAGAGACTTTCCTTCCGCTGACCTGGCAAAAGCATTTGTTATGTGAGAGCGGAAGTTTCACTACATGCACTCCCACGCTACTCCCAAATACCAACCAGTCCCCGCATTAAGATATTTCACTAGGTCCCACGTAAACACGTCACCATGACCCCCCTCATCCCTATTCCCTATGGGTATCTAAAATTTTCCTCCCTCCCTCCAAATTCCAAACCTCCTCCCACCCACAAATTTAAATTCCACCTCTCATCCAAGCCTCAACTTTTCGCCACGTCATCCAAAACCTAGATCCGAGCCGTCCGTGACAGGTGGTCAGGTCAATAGATTGGGCAGCGGTGGGATTCATCTTAACCGTTTGATGAAAAATAAACGGCATCAGATCTGCCCGAAACAGAAACGGGCAGATCTGGCTTGCCTTTAAGAGGAGGTGGTGCCCTGCCCTTATTCTCGTCCAAATCACAGGGAGGGTCTTGAAAACCCTCGTCTCTATTCTTTCTATAGTTCTATTTTGCCCCAAAAATTTCCTTTCATCTTTCTTCCAGCCGATGGCGGTGTAGTTTCCCGATGGATTCTAGCCGGAGATAGCCCGCCGTAATCCAATCCCAAAATTATAAAATTTTCCGTCTCTACATGGCATCAGCCGTTTTGGCGAGTCAGAATGAAGGCTATTGGGGCGAAAGAAATGTTTACATGAAGAAATATAATAGTACTACACCTCCTCTCACCACCCGGTTGAATCCAAACCATATTATCAATCCGATTCTAACCCCAATTCCAAACCCTAAACCTAACCCTAGTTTCAGACAGATCCATGAACCCTCACCTAGAGCTCATTTCCGACATACCAATGATCCATCTACGAGGCCAGTTCTGCCGCTGGTTTCCTCAGATAAACAGCCAGCGTACACGTATAAGCCTATTTCTGTCCAAGGCGAGTATATGATGTACAATTTGAATGAGTTTTCTAGAAGAGAGAAGAAAGGGCTCAAAAAGCGCTTGTTCTCGGATCTAGATCGGGTCAGGAACCTTTTGAACCGGATTGAGTCTCGAGACCATGGGGTTCGTCCCAGTATCCCCTTTTGGCCAACTATTGTTCAACCAAATTCGCTTGCAGTGGAGGTTCCGACTCAGAAGCAGACAATGAAAACCACCGGGAAGAACAATGGCAAGAAGCATTTGGGGAAGAGGCGAGGAGCAGGGGCACACTCATATCCCTATGACAGAAAGCCAAAGCGGCCTTTTGTGGTTTCTAACTTATCAATGAACAAGGTTCATAGTAGCATGATGAAGAGGTGTCGTCAGATTTTGACGAAATTGATGAAGCACAAACATGGCTGGGTTTTCAATACTCCCGTTGATGTCAAGGGTTTAGGGCTTCACGATTACTATCTAATTATCAAGAGTCCGATGGACCTTGGTACTGTGAAATTTCGGCTGGAAAAGAATGAGTATGAAAGCTCTCTGGATTTTGCAGCTGATGTGAGGCAGACTTTCAACAATGCTATGATCTACAATCCTAAAGGGCAAGATGTGCACATCATGGCAGAGACTTTACTCAGCCTGTTTGAAGAGATGTTTAATCAAGCGTGTAAGAAGTATGAAGCTGACCAGAGGAAAGTCAATGTTGCAACAGAGGCAGCTGCTGCAGCAGAGCAATTGAATCATCCAAAAAAAATTGCTGAATCAGAACATCTTCCATTGCAGACAAGTTTGGATGAACCAATATTGATGGCTAGAACATCTGATGATATAATGCGGCCACAATTGAACTTACCGGCTGAGGTGCAGAATATTAAGTCACCTGTTTCGGTGTCTCCTTCTCTGCAACCAATAACTAGGTCAGGGAAGTTGCCGAAGCCAAAAGCAAAGGATCCCTACAAGAGGGATATGACTTCTGAGGAGAAGCAAGAGTTGGGGGCTGTCTTACAGGAGTTGCCTTCTGAGAAACTGGATCAAATGATTGAAATTGTGAAAAAGAGGACTTCAAATTTGCTACAGGAGGGTGATGAGATTGAGGTTGATATTGAGATTCTAGACAATGAAACATTGTGGGAACTGGATAGGTTTGTAGGATATCACAACAAAGCTGTAAGCAAGTTTCAGAGGCAAATGCTTTTTCAAGAGGTGACTCCTGCAAAACAGATCCTTGCCCAGGTAGTGGTTTGCATCCACTATAATCTGACTTTTTTCCAGATATTTGCTGCTAGTTTCGACTGATAATAGTTTTCTTTTTGTGGACAGGATTCGCCAAAAGATGAGCATGTGGAGACTGAGGGGCAACAAATGAAGAAAGGGGATGTGGTTGGGGAGGAGGATGTTGATATCGGAGAGGAGATTCCTGTAAATAATTTCCCCCCTGTGGAGATTGAGAGGGATGCTGTTGGTGCAAGTAATGAATCGAGCAGTTCTAGTAGCTCCAGTTCTGGCAGTGATTCCTCCTCTTCCAGTGGTATAAATTCTATACAAGATAATTTTAGTTGAGATTACCTTGTAATTGATTGATGTGTTTTTGGTTTTTTACATGTATTATATTTGATTTTGCAGATTCAGATTCCGAGAGTTCTTCCAGGAGTGATTCTGATGAGGATAGTGTACAGTCACCTTTTGTTGTAAACAAGGATAACCCATGCTAAGCGAGAAAGAACTGGAAATGTTTTGGAGATATTTATGTCTGGTTTTGGTTTCTTCTGGATGGTGTGAAGAATTTATGTGGATGGTTGATTTCTTGTGGTGCTCGGGGGGTTTCTTTGCCTTGGTTGTTTTTGTTTGTTAGAAGGGAAGCAATGGTGGTTCTTGTATTCCGATTGTTGCCAGATATATTAGAAGTGTAAAGAGAATGACAAGCATTAGTGTAGTGTAAGGTAAAAACTGAAGAATTTTTATAATAGACAGATGACTTCTAATATTAGGGTGCTAGATAGATGGTAAATTGCAGAGAGGTTTTGGTACTTGTATACAGAAAATCATCTCATGATTTTCAAAGTAGAACAGCGATAAAAATGTACAGAGCAGTCAGTTGTGGGAATTGCAAGGGAAATTGTGACGTCTTTTTTTCTTTCAGTCCTAAATTTAATTTTCAATTTCACTAATATATTATTAGTTTATACCATGATTGAACTTGAACTTGTGCTCGTTGAAATTCTGAAAAACTCATTACACTACGAACTGGCAAATGTAAGCATACCTCGGTAGGCTCTTTTACATTATTTGCTATCCACAAAGCAGGAACTCCAAATGTTGGCCCTGCAGACAATGAGATAGTGTGACAGACTCGTCAAAAAAGATTAGACGACAAATGCCCACAAATTGAGAGTAGGGCACATATTGACATAAATGTCCAGAAACATTAATTCAGCATCAGTACACACACTTTGCCAACGCACAAAGTAAATCAGATACAAGCATGTGACCCGTAAATGTCTTAGCATCATGGGTAACTCGTTGATGAAAATGAACTTTCCTTGGTTACAAGCTAATACCAGCGACTTTATTTCAAGAAAAGCACAGAAGACTATCATTCTTCCAGGTAGAACCTAATTTTTTCCCCGGTTAGTCCTACATTGAAAAGAATGTATTTACATAAAAAATTGTTTGGCAAAAGCTCTGTAAGCAGATTCGTATAATTGCATAGACATTCAAAAATCAGCATGAAGAATGTGGACCTCAACTCCCGTTTAAATTATTAAGACCTAGAAACAAGGGCATTGCAAGTTTTTATTTCTGTTCTGAAGACAATTTAAAATATGATCCAACAATGCTACAGCCTACAGCATGCATTTCTATAGACTGAACCTAAATAAAAAGTTGGAAACCCTTTCAGGATAGGGGAAAAAAAAAAAAAAAGCGCAAATGGCGGAGTGTGTGAATGAAAAGAAGAGAAGCCTTGGTCAAATTCCAGTCAAGGAAAAATCTCCAAGTTTTTCCTCAAAAGCTCACTCCAAATTTTCAGTCTTAGAAAAGGGGATTCAAAGAAATTTATAGTGGGAATTTTAACTAGCAAGAATGTCATCATATGATTTTTTAAAAAAACATGCCTCCTTAACTTCCTATCATTTCACTGAATTATGAATAATATACTAAGGACTACAAGAATCCAACCGATGGCAGCCCACTGACAAATAACTGAAATGCTATGAGCTTAAGTGCCTAACAATATAGAATAACGTTATTTAGCAACATTGGTGCTAAGCACTTGTCTAGGTGACATTTAACTGTCTTAACTAATATCTTATTGTAGAAACATGAGTTCTATTTTAAGATGACTTATCACTTGAATGTCACAAAAGAATGGTGCTATAACACCAGTGGCACTACATAGCATTATTAAAAAATATAATGTTGAATAGAGAGAGCACAGAAATGTGATTGGAATAATGCACAATTTTCCATCTTCACGTATGAAAAAGTGCTAAACATGCATCATTCTCAATTCATTTCAAAAGGTAAAGTATATGCCATGTTCCGCTCTTTCATCATTGTCTCCTCTAATTCTGGTGCATATTCATGGGGGCTAATACTCAACAGGCTATAAATTGGAGATTCCTTTAAAATGTTATCTTGGCCTACCCGAGGGAACTAGATTTCAACAATTCTATTGGCTAAGGAAAGACTAGATGTTCAGCAGTCCTACATCTTCTCAAGAACGTAGCTAATTCCTTTGCTACATGATAAATGTTAGTAGTTCAACCAGTACTTGCATTAGCTGCACACCAACAGTGTGCTAGCCTTCATAAGAAGCAAATTCTACATGGCTATCATCTCTGTCATCTGCATATCCACAATGGGTAAGCAAGATTATTTATTTAAATCAAATCTTTTCCTCACCCAATAAACATTGCTTCCAAATTTTTATATATATTATGCGTGCAAGGTCAAAGCTTCTGATTAAAATTTGACATTCCAATTACATCTGGAATCTGATAGATATATTACTCAAACTTGAAACATCTGAAGCATTACAAATTAAAGCATTATGTTTATCCACAGTACTTGCACTGTGAATAACTCTTAAAGCATGTGCATAAAATGATAGACTGCAGAGGTTCCTTTTGAACCTGGCTCCACAAGAATGAATTTCTCTTATAATAAAATATATTAAAGCAAACAAAGTAGGATTAAATTGAAAATAAACATCCCAGAAACTTAACAAATGTAGAGATGAGAAAATATTATCAGCACTATGAAACGTACTATGTAAGAAGAAAGAGTTCTATATGTTCTCACCTGCCCACCATTGAGCCTATGCATCGACAAGCAACGTTCAGTGTGAACAATGGCCAATATAATCAGGAATCAAGAGAAAATGAATCTTGCGAACATGTACCTAAACAGATTAATACCGTGTTAGTGAAACTGTAATATCACAAATGCATTTGTATGATGACCATAATATTACAGAATATTACACTCTTATGAAAACTGAGTATTTCCTCCTAACACGTTAACAAAGTAATTACTTCTAAAATGTGTTGAAAACCGGATGAATATTTATACTAGAAAGCAGCTTATAAGAAGCAACATATAATCATCTTCACATCTTGATTAATCAATCTTCGATCAAGCATCTTTACTTCGTAATTGTGTAATAACTTCCAAATTCCAACAGACACGGTTGGACAAGTTTAGGGAGACATCCGTAACTACCTTTAGAACTTAGAGGTCTTAAGTAAAATTGACAAACAGGTTTTCTTGACAAACATGTAACTTTTACAGTTAGGTGATCTTGAGCTGCATCCAAGCAAGTAGTTTCAGGGCTCCACGAACACTCATCCACAATTCAATTGTATTGATGAGCTGGTAATCTAGTCAATTTGTGTATAAATAATGTAGTGCACATTAAGATGTACATGCTTAATGTTCAAGTACCAAAGAGACAACCTACATCTCAACAGTACAAAATTAAACAAGATCTAACACTTCTACACTGATAACAATGTAAAGGACAAAATTTAAAATGAATTTGACCAGATCCAAAGAGCCGAATAAGCATCCCAGCTCAAAAACAGGATTCACAAAATTCAATTTAAAAATTGAACACTTAAAAGAGTAAAAATGCTATGAGCAGAGGCAGAAATTAACACCTAAAATTTCTCGCTGCACACGATGCTGAAGAAACATAAGAGCAACTCATCAATCATCGTTGAGTAAATGGTAATCAAAACAACACAGGTTAAAGGTGTATGTGGGTGGTGTTGGATTTGATTGAACCTGTAAAATAGCAATAATTGCGCAACATGTTGAGATTTGGATATATATAAATATATTCAGAAGAATCGAAAAGGATAAATCAATTTTCTAGCAATTGCACAGATAGAGAGAGGCTACTTAGAATTTGACAGTGGAAAAAAGTATTGAATGAATGAATCACAACAGGACAGAGTTGGAATATGTTCAGACTTTCCGTCTTGAGAGAAAGTCGGGTACCCCTACCCCACACACCCACCCACTCACTACTTCCCTACATTCTCTCTCAATAGGTATCAATGGCTAATTCTATTCAAGTATTAATGAGAACGTATTTATGAAAGAATTGATGAATATTTGCCGTTGTTTTCTGTTACAAAAAAGGCTTAATTATATGGACAACGATAAAATTATTTGTTCAAGACTATTCAAGTCTAATTTAATTACAACTCAATATTTCCCAAGAAAAATGCTAGGCATCAATTTTGAGAGCCCCCTCACATACATTTGGTGTCGTGGACCCCACCCATGGAAGAGGGCTGTCAAAATTGCTGTACAATTTTGATTGTACATTAAGCATTTTTGATTTCCCAAATATTTATTTTACAGATTAAGCACTCTATTTGGGTATTAAAATTAGATTTTTAGTAGATTTTAATAAAAGTCGATGAAATGTGTTGTTGAAAACTTTGATTTAGATTAAAATTCATACCAAATAGTGGCTAAAATGAAAAATAATAATAAAAAAAAATTCCATTGCTTGAGGTTAGAAAATCACCATTAAGATTCGGCTAATCGGATAAAGTAAATCTTGATTTTCATATGGAAAAAGGGCAGATGTGAAGCAACGTCTATGAATAATTTAACACTAATGAAGGAGATTAAGACCCTGTTTGGTGTAGTTAAAAATTAATTTTTTATTGGATTTTGATAAAAATGAATAAAATATGTAGTTAAAAAATTGTAGATTTCATAAAATATGTGATTAAAATTAATTATCGAGAAAAAAGAAAAATTCAAATGAAGCACAAGCGACAGATGCTGCCAATCATGTACAGTGCATACCATACTATACTGGACCACTTTGGAGTGGTGGGGCTTATATTTGATGGTCATTATTTCACTGAAAAACTATTTTCAATTGTGATTTTTATGAAAATACGTGGTTAAAAATTAAAAAGAAAATTCAAATTTACGTGCAAAATATTTTATTTTGTAAATATATAATTGAAAATGAATATATAGCAAATTTTTTCAAATAATGGTCGTCAAACGGAACCTTAACGTGACCCAACGTGGCCGCATTACAGCCTTACACATTTTGCAACTTCATTGTGCAGAAAAATGGGTCTAGTAGTGGATTTTGTTGAGTCAGAAAGTGACACTTCTCATATGCAATAAAGAGCCGTCTATTCCCTTGAGATTCTAACAACGTTCCTTTTGAACTGCA